CACTAGTTCATAAGTAACAATTGGAATAAGTTAAGTTTACTCGTTTGAGTTTAAAAAGGCCTCCCCCCCACACACACTTTTTATTCTCAGTCTCAGGAATTGAAGATGGTCTAGATAAGACATGAATTTCTAAGAGCCCTAGTAGAACATTTACATCTCAAGACACAGAGAGAGAAATGCAAGCTTCTCCTAGAAGGACTTTCCCTTAGGATCAGAATTCTGAAAGGATATTTTATCAAGTTGGCTTTCTTGAACTTAACTGCATATGCAACGAAAGAGCCCCATCTTGGCCATTTTGGAAGCAAGATTTCCTTTAATTCCCAATTAAGTTGGTGCTTGTAAGTATAAGTTTTGTATGTACATAACCTGGCTCGGGTGTTAGTTGGAGGCTGGCTTTCTTTCTTTTTTTTTTTTAATTTAATTTAATTATTATTTTTTATACAGCAGGTTCTTCTTAGTTATCTATTTTATACATATTAGTATATATATGTCAATCCCAATTTCCCAGTTCATCCCACCACCACCACCCCTGCCCCTGCTTTCCCCTCTTGGTGTCCATAGGTTTGTTCTCTACATCTGTGTCTCTATTTCTGCCTTGCAAACCTGTTCATCTGTACCATTTTTCTAGATTCCACATATATGCCTTAACATATGATATTTGTTTTTCTTTTTCTGACTTACTTCACTCTGTATGACAGTCTCTAGGTCCATCCATGTCTCTGAAAATGACCCAATTTTGTTCCTTTTTAAGGCTGAGTAATATTCCATTGTATATATGTACCACATCTTCTTTATCCATTCATCTGTTGATGGGCATTTAGGTTGCTTCCATGACCTGGCTATTGTAAATAGTGCTGCAATGAATATTGGAGTGCATGTGTCTTCTTGAATTATCGTTTTCTCTGGGTATATGCCCAGTAGTGGGATTGCTGGGTCATATGGTAGTTCTATTTTTAGTTTTTTTAAGAACCTCCATACTGTTCTCCACAGTGGCTGTACCAATTCACATTCCCACCAACAGTGCAAGAGGGTTCCCTTTTCTCCACACCCTCTCTAGCATTTGTTGTTTGCAGATTTTCTGATGATGCCCATTCCAACCAGTGTGAGGTGATACCTGATTGTAGTTTTGATTTGCATTTCTCTAATAATTAGTGATGTTGAGCAGCTTTTCATGTGCCTCTTGGCCATCTGTACATCTTCTTTGGAGAAATGTCTATTTAGGTCTTCTGCCCATATTTTGATTGGGTTGTTTGTTGTTTTAATATTGAGCTGCATGAGCTGTTTATATATTTTGGAGATTAATCCTTTGTCCGTTGATTCGTTAGCAAATATTTTCCCCCTTCTGAGGGCTGCCTTTTTGTCTTGTTTGTTGTTTTCTTTGCTGTGCAAAAGTTTTAAGTTTCATTAGGTCCCATTTGTTTATTTTTGTTTTTATTTCCATTTCTCTAGGAGGTGGGTCAAAAAAGATCTTGCTGTGATTTATGTCAAAGAGTGTTCTTCCTATGTTTTCCTCTAAGAGTTTTATAGTGTCTGATCTTACATTTAGGTCTGTAATCCATTTTGAGTTTATTTTTGTGTATGGTGTTAGGGAGTGTTCTAATTTCATTCTTTTACATGCAGCTGTCCAGTTTTCCCGGCACCACTTAATGAAGGGACCGTCTTTTCTCCATATCCTTGCCTCCTTTGTCATAGATTAGTTGACCATAGGTGCGTGGGTTTATCTCCGGGTTTTCTATCCTGTTCCATTGATCTATATTTCTGTTTTTTGTGCCAGTACCATATTATCTTGATGACTGTAGCTTTGTAGTATAGTCTGAAGTCAGGGAGTCTGATTCCTCCAGCTCTGTTTTTTTCCAAGATTGCTTTGGCTGGAGGCTGGCTTTCTAATGCCCCTCGTTTAGTAATGGTGTTAGGCCAGCCTCCCATCTAATCACCCAGTCCAGACCTCTCAGTGTCTTTCAACTGAGCAAATCCATGTATCTTTCAACTGGAGAGCCAGGTACCTGTTATATACCACTAAACAAAACTTAGGCTCATCAACCAACAATTGGGAGAGCCAAGAACCAGAAGAGGCTTACTCAAATTCGTCTGGGTTCACCAAGGAGGCAGACAAGCACAAGGGGCCCTTCTGGTACCAAGGATCCAGATCCACATAAAGTTCAGGCAAAGGAGAGAAGTCTGCTCTGAGTCACTTAATGATCACCAAAACTGTCAACTGAAATAAAAACACACAAAATGAGAGCTCTGAGCTTCAGTTTTACTGGGGGACTTACTGAGGACTACAGCCCAGGAGACAGCCTCTTGGAAAGCTCTGAGTAACTGCTCAGAAAAGGTAAGGGGGAAAGTCAGTATCTATGTGATTTTTGGCAAAGGGGGTACATGCAACTAAGCACACATCTCAGTAGAAGGTTGCTGCTAGTCATGAGGAACAGATATCTTCATTAATGGTTTTGGTACTTTTCCAGCTATGGGAAGATGCAAGAATCCAGGTTCATAGAAAATTCTCCTGAAAATATCTAACTATCTGAAAGCCTATTCTGCCAGTTTTCCAGAGCACAGAGTACCTCACTCCTGATCTCTCCCCTGGCCTCCTTTCAGGATGCTAAAGTTCAGCAGCTGCAGCGGCTAATAACTCAATCCTTGTAGAGCCGAATGGCGATCAACCTTCATTAGTTGGCACTTCCTTACCTCTCCCCATCTTTGCTAACTGCTACTCTGCAGGAACTTTTTTCTGCAAGGAAGGCGTTTTTCTTTGGCCATCTTGTCTTCTTACCCTACATGCTCTCCCTGAATGACCACATCTATTCTTCTGGTTTCAGCAGATGTTGTTGATCTCCAAATTTGTATCTACAGCTCCATCTACCAGAAAGGGAATGTACTGTAGGAAACTAAAATTGAGATTGTACAAGTTCATCCCTTCTCCTGAAAAATATCTTTTTTTTTCTCCTGATTTCAGTAAACAGGATCACGTACTCAGTGGCCCAGACCAGACATATTTGAGTCATCATACCAAGCTTTTTTATTTTCCCTCACCTCTCTTATCATTTCAGTCCTGAAAATTCATGTTTTCCTAATTAAGGTTAGCAGAATTACAGGGGGAGACAAAGAGAGTCTACTAATTCCTTAGGATAACCTAACATTTTTTGTGTTTATATTTCTATAACTTAAGAAATTAATATAAACATATTATGATTCATAGTCTGGTTCATACTCCCTCAAAATGGAATATTGCTACAGGATCTCAAGGCTTGAATTTACCTTTGTACTTATGGTTGTTATAGCACCAAATAGCATTACCTTGTCTTGAGCTAATGAGAAAAGATTAGAGAAAACCTAGGAAGTACTATAAATAATGCATTCCCATCAAGTGAAATAATGTCACAATATATTGCCTGAGTAAAAAGCTTACTGAAATTTGATTAAAGAAAAGTAAGAAGAGAAGTGAGTCATCGTAGGGTATACGGCAGATACATTATCAATATCTACATGTGATGTATGAGGGATTAGTACAAGGGAACACAATAGGGTGTGAAGTTAAGAAAAACTTCAAAGATAAGAATCTCTTTAAGCTGTATCAAATAAACAGGTAAAAATAATGGCATAAGGTGGGAAGTTTGAATTCTACAGTCCTTCTTTCTTTTTTTTTGTATTTATGTTTTTTATTATCATTTAGTTCTGGCTGCATTGGGTCTTCGTTGCTGCACGTGGGCTTTCTCTAGTTGTGGCAAGCAGGGGTTACTCTTTGTTGCGGTGTGCAGGCTTCTCATTGCGGTGGCTTCTCTTGTTGCGGAGCATGGGCACTAGGCACGCGGCTTCAGTAGCACACGGGCTTAGCTGCTCCACAGCATGTGGGATCTTCCCGGACAAGGGCTTGGACCCGTGTCCCCTGCATTGGCAGGCAGATTCTTAACCACTGTGCCACCAGGGAAGCCCTCTATAGCCTTTCAATTCCACTTATTTTTCTTTGCCTAGAGAGTGGAAGTTTCCCTTAAGGTCTACATCAAGTTCACCTTTACCGTAAAACCTCACTTAAGCATGCGATATGTCAATTATATCTCAATAAAACTGGAAGAAAAGAAAATCTCACTTGAGGCACCAGCTGTATCAGCCATAGTAATAGAAGGAAATAGATGGTACACTCAAATTAAGAATATATGGTGATGGTTTAATAAAAGGAATGGACGGGTAGCAGTCAGGATATACTCATAACATATAGTATAATACCCCACAGCCCTTTCTATTCCCAAGTCCAAAGAAATGAGGAATTAGGAAATTCTGTAGAGAGAATCACCTTAAGAGGAGCTGTGACATTTGCTTGAAGGAAACAGGTAGCCAAAGGCAATCTAGAAGGAAAGAAGCTAGGGAAATGAATAGCCTGACCTAATATTACCCTTAGACCTGAGCAAAGGGAGCACCTACTCCAGCCCTCCTTTAGCTGCAAAAAATCCTATAAGATATGGAGTCCACAGGGTCAAGGGGCATGGTCACCCAGAACTCATGCCCTCCCTTCTAGACCATGCTCTGGATACACAGGATCCTGGGTTTCCCTGCTCAAGTGGCCCCAAGTCTTGTTCCAAAAACTGCATAGGCTTTCCCAGGGTCAAGGCAGGTCAGCACCTGATGTGCACAACCTTATGCCTGGGGGGTGGCCCAGGAGCAGCTCTTCGCCACAATAAGAGGTGGGGGGTCGGGGGGAAGAACAGAGCAGAGCTGGGTAGGAAAAGAATGAGGTAGGCTTCAGGCAGAGACCTGTTTCTCCCCATGTCCCTACATTCCTCTGTGTAACTCTGATGATCTGGAGACCTCAAATTTTGAACCTGGCCTTTCAGATCATTATTAAAATATATTGGTCAAAATAGGAGGCTAGAACATATATTATTTGACAGTTTGTTTCTAAGCAATTAGTTTTCAGTAGTTAAGATATGGTAACTGGGCCTCCATGTGTACTCTTGCCCCGCATCTCACACATGTGCCTACCCTGACTTCATTCTCCTCCCCAGGTCACCTGCCCAAATGCAACCTTGAACCAAACCAGATGTCAGAGGGAAGAGAGTGTCTGTTGACATTGTCCAGGCTGCAGATGTCTCCAGGAAAAATTGGAAAACATGAAGTTTGTGTCTAGAGAGGCTGGCATACCAGCCCACCTAATCCCATCTATTGTACCAGAAATATTTCTCCGCAACAGAGTTCTGAATTTGCATATATGCTGACTTTTTTCACATATGGTGAATTGTCTACCCAACCACACAGTTCCTTGAAGTTAGAGAACATATTTCATATTCCTCTTTGGTACCCTTTCCAGATTCTCAAGTAGTGTTATATATGTAATATATATCAGTAAATATCATTGGATAAAATAAACCAATCTTTGTTCCTACCTAAGACAAATGAATTAACTACAATTAATCAAAAATATTGTCTGGGGCGTCCCTGGTGGCGCAGTTGTTCAGAATCCACCTGCCAAGGCAGGGGACATGGGTTTGAGCCCTGGTCCAGGAAGATCCCACATGCCATGGAGCAACTAAGCCCGTGTGCCACAACTACTGAACCTGCGCTCTAGAGCCTGCGAGCCACAACTACTGAAGCCCGCGTGCCTAGAGCCTGTGCTCCACAAGAGAAGCCACCGCAATGAGAAGCCCCTCACACCACAATGAAGAGTAGCCCCCGCTCGCCACAACTAGAGAAAGCCCGCACACAGTAATGAAGACCCAAGGCAGCCATAAATAAATAAATAAATAATTTTTAAAATATATATATTGTCTTTGCTTTACATCTAGCCGTAGAGTTCAACCCAGTTATCAATCTACAGTACTTCCACTCACTAGCATTTTGTGTTGCTACAGCCTAAAAGTATCAACAATAAAATCAAGTAGGAGTTGAGTCATAAAAAAAAAATTCTAGGATTAAATTAATATAACTTTATATGCCTGCCAAAAGCAATAATATTACCTTGTTTGTAAGAAAACATGTAGTCATCAAATGAATCATAAGACAAATTTACTAACTTGTTTTTCCCAGCAAATATAGCCTCTAATTACATGTAACATTAGTAGTTCTGAAGAAACACACACCGCCCACCCCACTCAACACTCTTTCCCTCCCCCACACCAGTTATGTATGTATCCAGTAAGCAAATACTTGGGAGAAAATAAACACAGGATTTGTTAAACCATAGGCAGTTTTCCCTGGAACTAAAGATAGCATGTTTTATAGTTGCATGGAAACAATGAACAACTGAAGATGACAAGTAGGCAAGGAAATAACCCTTATTTAGCTGAAATTCAGATAAATCCTTTTAGGAATAATTGGAAATTAAAAACTGGAAAATGGAAAGAGGGAAAGAAGGTGAAGTGATATAGTAGGAAGAATAAGATAATAATATGTAGTTGTTCGCTGAGCACCTACTGTGTGTCTGGCATAGTGTTCACTATGTTACATGCATTGTCTCATTCATTGATACTTGGAGGAAACCCTCTGGCTTGGAATCCAACTTACTCTGCATCTCTAAGGTTATGGTAAATAAAACAGTAAAGAAACAATAATAGATGTGAACAGTAAACTAATTTAACATAAGTCCTTCTATAATAAAACAAATATGAAAAAGCTGCATGGGATTTAGAAAGTAGTCTCATTCAAAAGTCACATATTTTAATCACTCGAGAACTGTATTCAGAACTGAAAATAGTAATTAGTTGGCATATAAGCCCTTGATGACTCTTCAGAGTTGGGCAAATAATTTCCTTTATATAGAATCCAAAATAGTATTTAGAGTCAAACAAATATTCTCGATGAAATTGATAACTAAGTAACCTTTGAAGATAACCATTATAGTGATTTGGAGGTCAGGATACAGCAAAGGCTAAAAAATGTAATTTCTCTAAGGAAAAATATCTCACATAAGAGTAGAAATAGTGGAGCAATTATATTACATATCAAAAATATGAAATCTGGGGTTGCTTCCATTTGCTGGGAGAAAAGGGTGACAGATTGTCAGCACCTGATAGTCATTAGTGGTGATGAGATAATTGTCTCCAACTGTTCCATTTTTAATTTCAAATACATGCAAATAATAGGTTCTGAAACAGGGCCAAATATTTTTCATTTTGTTCCTCAGTTTTATTGGAAAAATTATACAGTAAATGTTATCCAGAAATATTTTGCCACATATGATAATTAAAATTAGAATACTGAACCTACCCAGAAAGTTTTAAAACTAAGAATTTGATCTGAAAACTAATCAGTATAATATAACCTCCGTCATTTAACGTAACATATTTCAGGTTTTACTGTAATTTTAGCAGAGACAGGGCTGAAGTTTTTATCTGCCAAGCAGAATGCAGAGAATGTTGTTTTACATGACATACATATAAATTCAAAATCCAAATGGAATTTTTTTTTTTTTTTTTTTTTTTTTTGCGATATGCGGGCCTCTCACTGTTGTGGCCTCTCCCGTCGCGGAGCACAGGCTCCGGACGCGCAGGCTCAGCGGCCATGGCTCACGGCCCCAGCCGCTCCGCGGCACATGGGATCTTCCCAGACCGGGGCACGAGCCTGTGTCCCCTGCATCGGCAGGTGGACTCTCAACCACTGTGCCACCAGGGAAGCCCCAAATGGAATTTTTAAGTGGGCATCCTGCTTTCCACTTTCAAGAGTCAAGTAAACAAATAGAAATTATGAGTTTATATATTTTAAAAAAGGAAAAAAATCAGCCATAAGGGAATGTTACACAGCGATGGTATTACTTTCCATACTTTCCACAACTGTTATAAATCAGGGAAACTGTTCAGGATACTGATTAAGTACATGAGTATTGGATTAAGTGACCTGATTCAAGTCATCAAGACATTATATAACAGTAATTGACTATGATTTGGAACAAATCTTTTAATCTCTTGGCTAATTTTTCATACTTGAAGATATTTACTTTTTTTTTTTTTTGGCCTCGCAGCATACAGGATCTTAGTTCCGCCACACCCGCTCCCTCTGCATTGGAAACACGGAGTCTTAACCACTGGACTGCCAGGGAATTCCCTGAAGATATTTACTTCTTATGGATACTGTGAAGGTTATATGAAATAACATGTAGATCTGGTGGCATAACACCTAGCACATAGTAAGTGATTAAGGAATATTAGTTATTCTTTATTGCATAATAGATAATCATAACGAAAATGAATGACATGCTAAATCAAGTATGTGTTCTATGTTTGATAAGCTTTCATATGGAGTATTTCATTGTACTCAAAGTTTGATAATAGGCTATCTGAACATGGTATATATTTAATTATTCAAAATAATGAATCAGACTAGTTTATTCCAAAAATTTTGGATGAATAAAAGTTGGTTTAAATAGTGAATATAAACTATAAGAGAAATCTTAAGAAAAGACACTTTCAATCCAATCATTTTAAAATATAATAGGAAATTTCAACAGCTTAATTATGCTTATTATTACATGTTTATCTGCTCATTAAATCAAATCCTGAAGTACATTTATTTGGCAAATGAGTATTGCGAGTTATAAAATAAACTGGAAAATTATCAAACGATCTGTCTTCATGATTCATTGTATTTAATATTTCTTTAATTCAGAATAGTCTATTTCTAAATTATTTCAATTTATTGTGTTTCAAAGACATGTTGCATTATCTCCCTCCTTGGACATTTTTCTTAAATAAAAATATTAACAAATAAATTCCACAAGATGTCTATTTAAATTATTCAGCATAAATTCAGTCCAACATGTATTGAGAAATTGTTTTGTATAAGGCCTGACCTAAATGTTGGGAAAGAAAAGTCTATTTTCAGGAAGACCCAGTCTAGTGAGGACGAGTTACATAATTGTGAATCATACAAGGCAGATTTTAATGAGCTCTACAAGGAAATAAGCAGAATGAGGGAAAGATTGATTCTGATCAAAGAGATCAGGAATATCTCACATTTTAGGTTGATCTCGATTTTGACAGAAGATGAGATTAGAATGGTATAAGAACCACATGAGGAGAAAACCTGAGGGGATTTCTTTCTGCACAGGCCAAATAGTAGATGTGAATGGCTTATGTTATATATGTGCCTAAGTTTGGAATAAATATATAAAACTGAAAAAGCAGGTCAATACTAGATGATAAATGATCTTGAATACTAGGGAGAAGTTTGAATTTTATTTTGTAAGCAATTGATGATAACCAATGATGTGATTAATGCAGAACACCAGACCAGCAATAAGGATACCTGGCCCAAGCTCTACTGCCACTTAGCTCACGTGCACATCATTCATCAACTCTGGGCATCAGTTTCCTCACTTGCATTTTAAAAAACAAAACTGAGAGTTGAACTGAATCATCTAAGATTCCTTTAAATACAAAATTAATGTAATTCTGGTGAGTTCCCTGGTGGTCTAGTGGTTAGGATTTGGTGCTTTCACTGATGGGGCCCAAAACTGGGCCACTGGTTGCGGAATTGAAATCCCATTAGCAGTGAGTCGCGGCCAAAAAAAAAAAGTAATATAATTCTATGATTCAATATAAAACTTTGGGACTACTTTAACCTTTTATCATTCTGTATAATTTACAAGCTGAAGATGGATTATTCCTATTTAAATAGAACATAGAAAAATTTAAATCATATCATCCTCATGGTTGTTAAATGATGATTCAATTTTGCTGAAATCTGGTTCTAAATCTATAACAAATAAATATTTTCCTTCTGGAAATTAAATAAAATATATTCTAGCACAGGGAACAATACTCAATATTTTGTAATAACCTACAAGGGAAGAGAAGCTTTATATATATATATATATATATATATATATATATATATATATATAAAACAATCACTTTGCTGTACACTTGAAACTAACACGTTGTACATCAACTATACTTCAATTAAATAAATGAAGACATAAATACATAAATAAAATAAATTCCCCCAAAGAAAGTTTATCTCCTCTTCTGCCATTATAGCACTTTCTTCTCTGCCAGCATCTCAAATGCTTTGAAAAAATACAGACTGCCATAAAAATTCCAGGCAAAATATTTAGGCACAGTATCTGTCATTTAATAAATATCTGTGAAATTATTTTCTCTTTCCTTCCTATTTCTATTGTTAACTTTAACTCAAGACCTCAAAATTTCTTAACACAATCATTTTGATCATCTTGCAATTGGTCTCATTTGTCTTGTGCTGTATCTTTCCTACATTTGCCATACTTCTGTGAGTGATCTTAGGAAACTTAAATCTAATTGTGTTGCTTCCCTGTTTAAAATTGCTTATAGAAGTAGTTCTCAAAGTGTGGTCCCCAGACCAGCACCATAAGAATCACTCACAAACTTTTTATAAGTGCAGGTTCTCAGGTCACATTCCGAACCTATGGTCCATGTTTTAACAAGCTCTCCAGGTGATTCTGATGTACCCTAAGTTTGGGAATAACTGGCTTGTAGGATAAAATGAAAGTACCTTAGGTTAGGATACATCCAGCACCAGTTCCTCATGTATTGCCCGGCCTCTCTCCCAAATCACACCCTACATTTTAGCCTTGCCATTATTTTATCTGGCCATTCCTTAAATACTATTATACTTCCTTTTGCTCACTGTACTCCTGGAAAGCATTTTCCCAACATGGCAGCCTGATAGCTCCCTGCTCACTTTTCAAAATTCTGCTGAAGGGCATCTGAAGTATTGTAGCAGATATAGATATTATATGGAACCTCTGATAAGTCCCAATAAGAGAATTAGAATGCAAAGCCCTAGGATTTTGCAGTAAGGGCATACTTTCTAATGCCAACAACCATTCTCCCTTTGAAAAGCAGCTCCTGACTTGCTGACACGTGCTGGTAGAGACTCATCCATCACCTGATGGAGGGACACAAAGTGATTACACAAGCTGAGCTGCTCCTCCTGAAGTGAATGTTACTTGGTCAACCAAATCATACAGTTGAAACATGCGCTTCATTATTAATGGAAATAATAGAATAATGCATTCCATTAAATAGAAATGATATGGCAACACTGGGGACAAGTAAAGACCACTTAGAAAGGGGGAAAAAAACACAGGCCTGGATCTGCACAGTATTGCTGGCACCAGCCAGAAATGGAAAGATATTGCAGGACATCCACTTGGGGTGGGCCTGAAACACATGGTGAAGGGAAATCCCCCCAATATGCAGAACTTTGGGCTGTTCACTTGATGGTCCACTTTGCATGGAAAGAAAAATGCCCTGGTATCTATTTACTTTGGCCACATTCCCCCAGGTACTCTAGCTGATATGTAAATTAACAAAGGGAATGGGTGAGTTTAAAGTCATGTGAGGAGCCCAAGGGCACAGAACTCCAGGCACTGCCTAAGCACTATTGATAATTCTGGTTTGCTGCTTATCCATTAAGCAACTTCTTTATCAGAGTATTACCTGTAAGTCCTTAGTGAGAAGCACACTGGGAGAAGTAATTCAATAGTACAAGGATTTTAAAGGAAAGGTGGAGGAGGAATAAATATCCAAGGCCTACCAGTCAGTCTACATTCATTTTCATCACCACCTCAACAACGAGGCTTTGCATCACCCTGGTAATTCTCTACAGTTATCAGCATCTGCAACCTGGACTGTTGCATCCATTTTCAGAAGTGAAGCTGGGACTTCCATGGTGGTGCAGTGGTTAAGAATCCGCCTGCTGGGGCTTCCCTGGTGGCGCGGTGGTTAAGAATCTGCCTGCCAATTCAGGGGACACAGGTTCGAGCCCTGGTCCAGGAAGATCCCACATGCCGCGGAGCAACTAAGCCTGTGTGCCACAACTACTGAGCCTGCGTTCTAGAGCCCATGAGCCACAACTACTGAGCCACCATGCTGTAACTACTGAAGCCTGAGCACCTAGAGCCCGTGCTCCGCAACAAGAGGAGCCACCGCAATGAGAAGCCCGCGCACCACAATGAAGAGTAGCCCCCGCTCGCCGCAACTAGAGAAAGCCCGTGTGCAGCAATGCAGACCCAACATGGCCAAAACATGAAATATAATAAATAAATTTATATTAAAAAAAAAAATCCACCTGCCAATGCAGGGGACACGGGTTTGAGCCAGGTCTGGGAAGATCCCACGTGCTGCAGAGCAACTAAGCCCATGAGCCACAACTACTGAGCCCCAGTGCCACAACTACTGAAGCCCGCACTCCTAGAGCCTGTGCTCGCAACAAAAGAAGCCACTGTAATGAGAAACCCACACACCACAATGAAGAGTAGCCCCAGCTAGCCGCAAGTAGAGAAAGCCCACTCACAGCAACAAAGACCCAACGCAGCCCAAAAATAAATAAATAAATAAATGTATTAAAAAAAAAGTGAAGCTGCAAGTAATATCTATTACAAGGTAATGCAGGAGAAAGATAAGTTCAGACTTAAGCTTTCCGCCAACTAGTCTTCACTGCTGCCTCACCAGCCTGCCACCCGTCAATCCTGACAACCTAGTTCAAGGCAGTTCAAACTCTATAGGGTTCCTCTTATTTTCACCTAGTTCTATAGTTTCTCTAGGGTTGATTATCAGAGAGGGAGCTTGCAGCTCCTGCTGTTATCCTATCTTAGCCAGGAACTAGAAACTCTCAAATTCTCATGAATGCAATACCTGGCATATAGTTTGCTCTTAAATGTTTAATTACTATTGAATGAATGAACCCTGGCACTAAGGCCTGAAACTAGAATTCTAAGTTCATTTCCAGTTGAAAATATGCTATGATTAATAATAACTAATATTTATTATTGAGCCAAACATGATTATAGGTGTTTATTTCTTTAATGAAGTAATGCATGTAATAGATGAAACAACTATGATTTCCTTTTGTGTTCTGAGAGGGAACTAAGAAAAAGAAGCATACGGTAAGCCTTGTGCACCCACAGGTTCCACACCCACGAATGGAAAATATTCAAAAAAAAATTCCAGAAAGTTCCAAAGATCAAAACGTGAATTTGCTAAGCTCTGGCAACTATTTACATAGCATTTACATTGTATTTACAACTATTTGCATAGCATTTACATTGTATTAGGTATTAAAAATAATCTAGGGATGATTTAAAGCATAGCGGAGGATATGCTTAGGTTATATGCAAACACTACACCATTTTATATAAGGGACTTGAGCATCCCCAGATTTTGGTATCCATGGGGATCCTGGAACCAATCCCCCATGCGTTATACTTTTTTACAATAATAACATATAACTTAAATGTTCATTATGTGTGATGGTTAACTTTGTGTCCACTTGACTGGGCTAAGGGATGCCAAGATAGCTGATAAAACATAATTCCTGGGTGTGTCTGTAAGGGAATTTCTGGAAGACATTAGCATTTGATTCAGTAGACTGAGTAAAGAGATCTGCCCTCACCAATGTGGGCAAGCATTATCCATATCCAATCTTAACCAATCATTGAGGGCAACAAGGGAACTAAAAGGGGAAGAAAGGGCAAATCACACTCTCTCTTCTTGGGCTGACACATCCATCTTTTCCTACCCTGGGACGTTGGAGCTCCTCATTCGAGGGCCTTCATA